GGAGAAGAACATGTCGGTGTGCCACAAGCCGGTGATCACTCAGAACAAGTCCGAGGACTATACGCAGGCGGTTGAAGCGATGTGCTTGGTTTTGGGTTTTTCTGGGGTCTCCTCCAAGAAGCATTTCATATTTCAGGATAATTAGACTAAACATTAAATATGGGTATTATGAGTATTCTTCTTTTTCCAAAGGGATTAATTGCTGGAAACCATGTAGATTGGGATATATGCCCACCAAGCGATTGGGGAGGTATTCCCCGCCAAAATCATAGCCACATGAAACAGAATCTGATTTTGCAATTTCTGTGCACCCCAGAAGGCCAGAAACCGGGCACGGGGCTGTGGGGTGGCCTATTTTATTCGGATCAGCGGCCTGGCGAACATTTGTTCTTGAAAGTTGACCGTCGTTTTGACTTAGTGTGAGAGTTTCTTTTTGTCCATCTGAAGAAATGGATTCAAGGCCAGCAGTTGCCGGGGAAAGGGGCGGGGTCCCTGAATATTGGGTTTCCTTTGAGTTTGCTTTGACACCTCATCCAAAATGGGGCTTCAAATGTGTGCACATGGAAACGCCAAGTGATTCGTCACACGTTTCTGCAGGCTGGACGGATTCTAGTTGTGAGGGGCAACAGTTGGGTGCAGCGGGATTTCGCATGGACACCCTCGGGGTGGGGCAAAATCGGTTTCAAGTTCGAACAAGCCCTGGCACAGATTTAGAGGGAACACGGGAGCAAGGCGGTTTGTTTAATGGGTAGTTAAACCTGGGCTGACTCGCCCAACCCTGGGAAGGGATTGTGAAACCAGCCTTGCCAACCAGGCGGTATCCCCAGCCCCGGAGCCAGGCCGACCCTCCGGATGCTTTCCCTGAAAGCTGCTCAAAACAGGTTGTTTTATACAGCAAAAGGAAAGGGAACCCTATTGGAACCACGTGCAGTTCTCGAGACCCAAAGCAAAGGTGACCTTCTTCCCGGACTTCTCGCGCTTCGGCATGCGTGCCATGGAGGAGGACGGGCACCGCAAAGGAACACACACACACACACAGAGACAGACACATGCGCACGCGGCGGAAATTGCAATCCTTTTGCTTTTCACACACGCAAATCGCAAATTGGATTCCTTTGGGTTTTCCTTGGACCCCTTTCAATTCGCCTTTTCCGAACAGAAGCTAGAACATTGTTTGCCCGGGCTTTCCAGAACTGAGAGCAGCGTGTTCCGTTGGTGCTCATCTCATCTTGTCTCATGAAGGACATCGTCCTGCTGATGCGGCGGCGCGTCCGGGGCCTGGAGTGTTGTTGTTGCAGAAGGCTGTAGAGGGCTGTGGAGGGGCAGTGGTGGTTTCAGTATCCAAAGCATGTGTCCCCCTGGTGGAGTCAGTGAACATCTTTTAAGTGGTTCTATAGCTCAGATGCGTGTTCCCAGCACATAGGACTTCCCAGCACCCTCCTCCAACACTTTTGGCACACCACTTGGGAGTATGAACACGGGAAGCAGTCGCTTGGGAGTGTTGATCCAGACATCCTACGTGGTTCCTGGCGACCGGACCCTGTCTTCCTACAGTCACACGCGCTTGGGTACATGGAGGGCAAGCCTGCCTTGGGCTTCGATGCGATGGCAGGGAATGCTGTCGCAAAGGCCACGAATGTGAATGCGCAGCCTGGGCTGATGGTGCCCAGCATTGCGGGCCAATGGCTTCCATACGCTGACTATGTCCGGACCATCTGCAGACCTCTTTGAAAATGCACGCTGGTTCTGGGAGCCAGTGCCGAACCAGCCTGAAGACGTGTTCAGATGGTTAGGCTTGTCAGCATTCAGTGGCCAGGTGCGGAAAGATCGCAGCCATGATATGCATGCCCATGAATAAATGCCTATGTGGGCGATATGTAGACACACATACAGACATACACAGTCCATGCAACGCAGAGTTGCCTCTATGAGTGTTTTCCAAGAGAGGACTCATCAAACATCAACACCCAAACAATATTGACGGCTTCAGCCTCACAACCAACCATTAAGCAGCCGAGGACAGAACCAACACTGCAACAAGGACAAACCTATAGCTCAATATCATATTTCGTCAACACCAAACGGTTGCTGGATGTCGGAATTGTTACCTGATCCGCGGATAAACTATGGGGATTTGTTGTGGATCTCATATCTGAAATTGGTGCTTGGGTCGAGTTGGGTATCCCAGATTGAGTTTGTTGATATTTTTAAAGACGGTCTCAGCCTGATAAATAACATTGTTGAATGGAGCGTATTTTGTTGTGTTTGTTCTCAAAAAGGATGACTAATACTGGCCCGCAATGGGAGTGTGTTTCCTAAACGTGACCCCGATTCCCTCCTACATGGAACAGCCCCCCCATTCACCAGGGCTTCTGAATCCAGTGTCAATGTTTCTTCAACCACTCCTCCAGGTGGTTGGTTTCTGCTGGTCAACGTCTCAAGCCACCACGCCTAGATGACGCTTTGTTCAATGGTTCTTTACCTGCGGATTCTTGTACACGCTGTCGCAGACCTAGGGAAACCATAACAAATTAGATTCGACGATATCCAGCTGCTGTGGAACTAGGGAAACCATAGCAACAAGTTAGAAACGGTATATACCTTGCTAGCTGCCCATCTAACAGCGAACCGCCCTGCCACAAGCGAGGTCTGTTTTTGAGGTCACTTGCGAACATCCGCTGCACATCAGGCCTTCGATGTGGCGGCGTCCACACGCGGGAGGTGCCAGGTCTTTCTGGACGGTAAGCGCCTGCAGGTGGAGTGCTTTCAGGCGGGGGATAGGGCGGGCTGTTTGGGCCATTTGAAACAAGGATTGGCCCCCATCTTGGAACCAGCAAGTAACATCATTTTCGGGTTTTTGTGGGGGGTCAGGCTGTTTCCTTGAAGCTTTACAAGAACCCAATCTAAGGGTGTGGGGACCATGGCGCAATGGCAGCGCGCCCTGTGACTGTCGAGTCCTGCTGGTCCTATGCCATTGTCCAGCTGAACCGTTTTGCGTTGGAACACAGCAACCATACGGTCAATTCTGCCCGCAAGACCCACATGGCATGGTTTTGGAGGAAGGAAGGGAGGGAAGGTAGGTTTGTCACTTGTTGGGGTTCAGTGACCAGACTGCATTTCTGGCCTTTCTGTTTGGCCGACAGACATGCGTCCTGCTCGACGGTGGATGAGATACGCACCTGCTTATCGATTTGCTCCCCCTGGCTCTTTCCGGATGTAGTTAGGCCTCAAACAGTTGGAAACAACCCTTTGGTCTAGAACCATGGCCACAAGTCACCCATTCGTATGACGGCATGATCAAACTATTGTGGACAGATGAGACTACTGGAAAGGAACAACCAGAACCGATGGTTTCCTCTTCGGGGTGGTTTCAATCATTGCCTGTGGGTTGCCCATTCAAAGTGAGTTATGTTCCGGGATGTTAATAATTCCATGGTCCATGGTCCTTCCAGCATATTTCAACAAGGGGCTTGGCCTCAGACAGCCGAAAACAAGAGGACTACGTGGACCTCTTCGTGCAGCCCGAAGCCTTCCGCACCTGCAAGGCTTCCATTTCGCCTTCTGGCTTCTTTGGGGCGAAGGGGCGGGGGAATGCTGGATGGACACTTGGTGTCTATTGTCAACTTTGTTTTTTGTCTGGGGTAGCCTGCAAACTGACTAGGGGAGCCTGCAAACTGACTAGGTGTCCATGGGGTCACCTCCCTGCACCCGACCCCTCTAGGAGACCCCCCAATGGCGTCCTTCACACCGTGAGCCTTGAAGGGCGCTGACCGAAACGGCGCTGCGTGTTGAGTTTCATGCAACCTCTGTGCAAGTCCTGACAATGCGAGGCAAGGACAAATCAGTTGAGTGGGGTCTAACAAATGGGCTCTTAGGATGCTATACACATGTGTATCCTTTGCAGCCGTTCATTAGAGCTAAACGGGTCCCCTGAGTAAGGTCCACCCTTGCAGCTTTGGGTCTTCAGCCCTTTCAATGTTCGATTGGTGGTTTGACTTGTTTTGTTTTTGTGTTTGGGTAGTTTGGTGCTTGTTGAAGCTAAGCTTCTTTGAGGTAGAAACCCGGGAGCTGCTTCAGATGAACCCCCCCCCAGCGTATGGTCCAAATGGCCTGATGGGGCTTGTCAATTTTCTAGCCTCAGTTTTGTCATTTTTTTTTTGAATCAAACAATATTGGTTTAATGGTCTTATGAACAACCATGAAACCATCTACAGAGAGTCCTACTGGAAGCTAGGCAAAACTTCTGGTTTGGGTGGGTATGTGGAGAACTTCCTACACCCCGCCCCTACAAAAGGCATGCAAAGAAAATGAGAGCACAACGTAGCTTTTGACATTGGGGGCAACTTCCTCAAAATTGTTGGGCATCCACCAAAGGGTTCCCAGTTGAGCAGTTGCAAGCAAAGATTACCGAAGGAGCACGCGCTGGAGAAACTTCCCCTATTGGCCATTTCGTCGGCGGCCTTTCTGCCTGGTTTTGCACGGATTGTAGTAATGCTTGTATGATCCTTTATAAGCATGTTGGTTATGGTAAGGTCTAAACCTTTACAACCATGGCAGAAGCAACGTCAGCTTGGGTTTTGGGCGTGTTCGACGAAGAATGGGCACCTTCCCGCTCCCCAATTTGACAAAGCGGGTAGCGCAACCTCTTTTGGTTCAGGGTAGTGCAAGGGGCTAAATCATTCGCATTGAGTTTTGGGGTACCGTAGAAAGCCAAGTCATGGGAACATAGCGAGGGGGTGTCAGGAGTTTCTCGGCCCCTCTGCTTTGGTTCGGCAGGTGGTGAACGACCGCTGGGAGGTGGCCATCGGTCTCACGGATGGGTCCGGGTTCCAGCAAGCCAGGGGCTGAGGGGGGGGGATGAGTTGGAAGTCAAGCCATTGCGGCAGTGTTTTACGACAACCAGCTTTTACGTTGTGTGTGTGTGTGTGTGTGTGTGTTTGTGTTTGCAAACCATGCCCAGGCGTTAAACAAAGCAAAAGTAGGGCAGCTATGAAGTTAGACGTTTTGGCTAAGGTTTCATCTATGACGGGTTGCTACCCCGCCAACCAAAGATTGAGTTCTAAAGGATTGAACGTCCCACAACCCGGAGGTTCCCCAGATTTCAAGCGCCAAAGAAAGTAAGGGGTGGGGGGCTGGGGACATTGCAAATGGCCGGTTTTAACTGCCGGAGTGAGGGGCGGGAGGCTGGAGTTCGCATTTGCCACGTGTGGACTTCGGGGGATGGCGAACTACTCGTGGGAAGGTCTGCCAATGGTAAATGATTTTTCTGGACCCTTCAGTTAGTTTTCCAAATGTATTCTCCAACTTCAGAGCTGTGGACAGCGGAGATTGAGTGGCCATGGGCTATAGTTGTTGCCCTTTTGTCCTCTGCACACTACCGACTTGACAAGATCACAGGCAATATTGGTTGACTGCAACATCTAGTTTTTTCACATTTCAGGAACCTTATTGGGGTGACATGCAGCCAGGCTTTGATTTGACCATCGGCAAAGGAACGACCCCTTGTTCGGGAGCACATCCTGACGTGCCATTGAAATCGATCCGCGTGCGAGCGTTGAGTTGTGCACCCTTCGTGTTATTTGAAGAAAACAACGACCACAACAAGCATCAAAGAATCGCCACACCAAAGTGCCACGACTAACCGCATCCCCTTCATGTCTGGTCGGTTCTGAGTCCTCACCGCCTTATTCGTATGTGTGTTGCTTGCCTTGCGCGCGCTTGTGTTCGGACCTGGCATCAACATTTGTTAATTCCTTTGTTTAAGGGGTTGCGTTTGTTTTTCAGCTTTCTTCATTGTCCCTACAACCAGCTTGAATAGTCAGGTCACCTGGGTTCTTAAAAAAGGACCATCGCGAAACATCCGAAAGGAAGTATTTAGACGCTAACCCAAAACAGCCGGCCACCGGGAACCCTGCCCTTCATTTCTCGTGTAACTTCTCTTTCTGTCCCTTCATTCTTCCTTCATTTCGCCTCATGTTCCTTCATTTCAATTCCATCATTTTTTCTTTGATGTCCCTTCATTTCCAGTCATTTCCAGTCATTTCCTGTCACTTCCCTTCATTTCCTTCAGACCATTTTGCAATGTTCCTTTGTTTTCCCTCATATCCTTTAATTTACTTTCCGATTCATTTTCCGTCTTGTAGCGCCCCCGCATTTTGTTGAAGTTCCCTTCCTTTTCCTGCATTTCACCTGACTTTATTTCCTTGCATTTCCCTCTACCCCTTTCTTTCCCTTTCATTTCTCATTTCATGTCTACTCCCTTCATTTCCCTTCACTGACCATTTCATTTCGCTTCAGTTCATTTCCCTTCATTCCCGTTCATACCCCCTCCATTTCTCCCTTCGTTGCAGTTCATTTCTACCTTTATTTGGCTTTTGACTCCCCCTCATTTTGCTTCATTTGATTTCCATCAATTCTTATTCATGTCCTTTAATTTCCCTTCATTTGGTTTCGGTGTTTTTCTTGCATTTCCCTAAACTCCCCTTCAGTGCAAATCCTTGCATCCGAAGGAAATAGTCCTTTCCCTTTATTGTCCTTCATTTCTCTTGATTTCCCTTCAGCCCTCTCGTTTCCCTAACTCCTTCATTTCAAATTGCCAGCAAACCATGCATCATGGCAGTGCTGGGGATGTTGTCCAGTACCAGGCCCCCCCCAAAAAGAAAGGAAGAAGCTGTTTTTTTGCCTCCGTGGCAAGCTGGTCAAACAGTCGTCAAGCATCGTCCACACAGATCTGCGAATCCTTCGCCCCATATTACGGTACCTTCATGTTCCCCGCATGTTCTGCGCAGGGGGCGGGAGCCAGCCTTAAACCGGAACGTAGCTGCATTCGGAGCGGGGCCTTCAGCCCGGGGATTAGGGGGTTGTCCTTTTTCCCTCTCAACCAAGCTGAAGAGGGCACCGAGCCTCAAAAATATACCCACGCATCGGAACCAAACGGGTCGCCCAACTCGGTTTCGGACGGGCGGCCGAGGTGAGCTTCGTGAACTCCATCAACACCTCCCGGGGAGGGACCCACGTCTCCTACATCACCGACCAGGCGGGGTGGCTGAAGCGCTCGGGGTGGGGTGAGTTGGAGGATAGTGTGAGGGAGGGCGACTTGCATAGTGGCTGGGTTTGAGTTGTGGATAGCGTAAATAGATCGTGTTGGTTCAGGGTAGTACTGTTTTTTGCCTATTTGGTTTGTCGGGGTGTTGGCTGGCCTGGCCGTTTTGCGGCTTGCCTTGGCTTGTTCGGTTTGGTTCGTGCTACTCGGTTCAGAGCTGCTCGGTGGCTGTGTTGCGCATGACGCGTGCAGACTCCCGTGGGCTGAAGAGCCCACTTTCCTCTTGAAAAAGGAGGTCTCTCCACTGTTTGCCAGTTTGTTTGGAGGGTACTACCAGATCAAGATGGTTTGTTAGGCAATCAGCTCCTTTTGGGACCGCTATTTGCGGTTCCATTTTGAATTCGCATGGGAGTGAGGATGGAATGGAAGCAAGCTGCCCCTGCCGGCAGCTTGCTCACATGCAAAACTGCAAGGTCTCTTGTGCTTGGAGGCTCCCGGGTCCATGGAGAAGTACTGCCGATTTGGCCCCTGCAAGCCTCGACGGGAAGTCCAGAACTGAACCCGAATAGGCGCGTGCACCTCTAGCTCGAAATGCAGAACCAAGCCTCAAGTCAACTGACTGACAGGCTCTCCTTCCAGCAGATCAGGAGAAGGATGGCCATTTTACCCATCACAGGGGTCAAACGACTTCAAACCAACAAAGACGCCGGTTGAGCGCGAGGTCGTCGGCGCGGTGCTTGAGAAGATAGGGAAGCAGAGAGGTGGAGCCTCGGCGCAATGGGAGTTTCCGGCAGATCCCGTTTTGGGAAACCAATAGGTGTGGAGAACCATTTTGTTTTCCCGAAACAGCTGAAAGCTTTGGGGTGCCCTCTTGGTGGGGTGAGGGGATGGCGACATGTCAAAAGCTCGCAGATTTCACAGGGCTGTTTGTCAGTTTGCTACTTTGGGTTTCATCCATTTGAGCAGACTGGCAGATGTCCATGCCATTTCTGTCAAAATATTCGGCACAGACGAATCCGCGTCTCGTTTCGACATGCAAGAGCTGGTCAATGTGGTTGGCTTTCAATGAGGCAAGTTGAGAGAACGCCTGATATCCTCGATGTGGCAAGTCTAACGGGGGCCTTTGGTTCGGAGAAGCGCGCAGTTCCAGGGCTATTGGAGTCCTTTGTGACACTGGAAGCATGAGCACCAAGAGTTGATCAATCGTTGCTTCCTTCTTCCCCTTTTGCCGTATGCTCGGCTGATGTGAATCATTACCCGAAGAAACACCTGAACATGGTTAGCTGTCAGCTTTTTTGGGATGAAACTAGAGGGGCTTCTCTAAACAGGGGCTTTGTTCCGTGCTAATAGTGGTCCCTATGATATTTCTTGAAAGCCAGACAGCCAGTTTAAACATCACTTTTTGGACCAATTGCTGAGTCTCCTTTTGAGTTTTTTCGCGCAATGTAGAGGGGAGATTCTCAAAGTGGTCCCATGCCGTTGGTATCCTTTTGACTTCCCTTCAACACCAAAAGGGAGTCCATTTTGAGAAAGACTCGCAAGGCCGCAACTTCAGGCACGTTGATGCACCCCCAATGAGCAAGAGGAAACCAAGAGGAAGCAAAAAGAAAACCAAGACAAAACCAAGAGGAAGCCACCCACGATGAAGCGGTACCTGGTTTAGAGAACCACCAACCACATTTGTCCTGATGCAACTGAGGCCCTCTGGCGGTAAAGAATCAGCACGTGAAGAGCTACCTCTGGATCTTCGTGAACTGTCTCGCTTGGGGCCCCAAGCGAGCAAGGGTGGCACCTTTGGCCCGAGGCACGCCAGCCACTCAGACACCAGACACTCCCACTTGAGAAAAAGACAAAAAAACAAAAAACTATTGAAAAGAGACTAATGCCGGGGTTGTGCTTGCGGCGGTTGGTGCATTGGGGGGCTGGTAGCAGTGGTATGGAAGGAGAGAGGAAGGATCCTAGTGGTCCAGCGGCACCTTTCTATCCGGTTTGTACACTAGACAACTGGCTTGGGTGGTACACATCACTTTGTGGTTGCCAGGGTTGAGGTTACCTTTGGTGCTGGGCATATAAGGAGGACCAGAGGCGTCCTTTTCGGTTTCAGTTGGTGTGAACATGTATGGATTCCACTGGTAAATCAGTTTGATTCGGATTTACAAGTGCCATCTATTTGCCAAGAAGACGCCTAGGGGCGGGGTGAATCCAGCGAGTATCGCAAGACTTGCGATGCCCTTGTGAACGTCTTGCATGAGAAACACTGGTTGTGTCGCAGCAGCGGGTTTAGTTGTGCCCAAAGGTGTGGCAAGTGATATGAGAAACGGTCAACATTCACCCTCATCTCGGGGTGACATTACGCGGGCTTCACCAAATTCCCATGTCACTTGGGGAAAGCAAAACCATATCGACCTCCGCTCATCAGAAGAGCGATTCCGAGCTTCCAGGTAGGTCGCTTGGCGACTCCGCAAGTCCGTGAGTTCCGACAGCGCCTATCTTTTTTGGGTGGGATCCACCAAAATGGATTTGTGGTTTTTAATGTTGCACCGGGAATCAATAACTTGCGCGGGGCCTGTCTATGCACAACCTTGCCTGGGTGCACTTTTTGGAGAAATCATGACCTCGTCCGGCTTACCAGGAAAGCAAGCTGCCTCAGCAAGTTCCCTTCTTCAACAATGGAGCCCTCAATTCAAGCTGTCGAACATCGGTTGAAGGCCATCTGTCAGCCCTGACGCCAAAGCATGCCAAGCATGCTTGGCTGCGCGATCTGATTGTCTTGGACATGAACAAGTCTGGTACATACTTGGTCAATCATGACCCCACAGCTAGTCTTGAATCATGCGCTGTTGCTTGCAGGCCATGTTTTATGTGTTTTACCTGTTTGCAGACGGAATTCATCATGACCTGGTGCAAGTTCTGTTCTTAGAGCTTCTTCGCTTCCTCGGAAAGGGAATGAGAAAGTGGCACCCCGGATTCAGGGCCCGCTGGAAAGGCTGATTGTCAGGGCTGCCTTCAGGTGATGTGACATTAGGCACAAGCACAGGCTCTCTGCCACTCCCAAATCTTGGGGAAGCCCATCCCATGACCATTTTGCAGCTTGCAGCAAGAAGGTTTTTCAGAGAACGATGCCTTTGCATCACCCCACTTTCATTTCTTTGCCTGTCTGTATGTGTTCTGGGCAGTTGGTTGGAACGACTTTCAGCCTTACCTCTTTGTTTTTGTTTCGTTGTGCCAGGCTGGTTTAACCCACGTGAACATAGCAGTGCGGTTGGCAGGTGGAGAATCCCGCCTTCGACTCACAGACCAAGGAGACCCTCACCAGTAAGCGGGAGAGGCAGGAGCCGCACGCCTTCTGGTTTATAGTGGGCTGGGCTTGTTTTGGGATTGGGGGGGCCTTCGAATTGTAAGAAGTATACTTCTTTCTTATTTGGTTCCTGTCCCGCAACTTCGCCAAGTGGATGTTTTGGCACATTGCCACATAATGTTAATGTACCACATGTACAAGCGGGCTGGACCCCTCTTTTCACAACATGGACATGACACGTGCCTGTAGAGGGGGTCTGATACTCTGGGCTACCTTCTTCCAGATGTTCAGGTGTTCCCCTTGTTTTTTGGTACGCCATCATGTTTGGCTTCATTACATGTGACTGGTACACGTGCAGGCCTGGAGCACAATCTGCGTGCTAAGCCTCAATGTGCCCTTGTGGCTGCAAGTGGAACACCTGTTCCTCCAGTTTGCCTAAAGCTGCAGTCATCAAAAGTGAAAAGTGAAAGTGGGACCTCTAACATGGGTTTCGGTTCTCCTCTTGATTTTCCTAGACAGCCTAGGGCTATCCCCCCAAAAAAACGACCCGAGCAGATCCGCCAGGTTTGGCTCCAGCTGCCACCTACCAGAGGACAGGTCGCTGGCTTCTTTTACCCCGCTGCAAGCCTTCAATTTCTCGTTGGTCAGAACCCGTGGAAAGGGCCCCCTGATTTTGGTCGTGCCTTCCCTTTTGGAATTATGTTAAAGGGAGATTCAGAGTTTCCCTCTTGAGACACACCCATACGCCGCACATCTAGAAGCAAAACCGAAGGGACACTGCAACTGGGCTTCCCCACGTCCACCCAGTTAGTTTTAACCACTGAGAGGGGAAATCTGTTTTAGGGTTTGTGCATTGCGCCCGGGCTTACACCTGGAAGTTTCCCCCCCTTGATACTTTTTGGGAACCAGTGTGGCAAAGAACAACAGGCAGGTTTTCCGGGAAATGAGCAGGAATTGGTTATCGCTTTTTCTTCCCCGAAAACAACGGATCGCAAAAGGAGGTTTCAGCAAGCACCAGCCAGACAACTTTGGAGAAGTGCTTGGGGCCACTATTGGTCGTGAGGAATGTCGGGGACTGAGAATTGAGACAGCCACCTTGTTTGAAGCATGTTGCCCAAAACGGCGCTCTGGCAGATGGAAGCAAAGACCAAAAAGCCTGTATAACCCTAGCCATAATCATTTGTTGCAATCACCTAACTTCTCATCGCTTATCATCCTGTGAGCAACGGGTGGAGACTCTCCAGGAGCTCCTGCAGGAAGTGGTGGAGAGTGGGCTGCTGGAGGCCCTCCAGGACTCGCAGACAGGGGGCCGCTTTCCACCAGCGACCATGGCTTGACCAAACCGCCCTTTGGACCTCGGTGAAGAAAATGGCTTTGCCATTAAACCCACAAAAGGTCCAATGACCTTTTGCTCGTTCGGGGGGCTCGGAGCAACCCACCAACGGTTTTGTCGTCTGTCCGCTCGCTGGGCTCAAGATGGCTGAGTTTTGAGCGCCCCCGAAGCGCCGCGGGCGGCAGGGATGCCCTAGCCATGCCCTCGACTCTGTCGGTGGGTTTGCTGAGTGGCGAGACCGTGTCCCTGGAGGCTGGGGAAAGACATGGATGTCGCATTTTTTGAGGATTCCCCATTTGGAGTGGCTTTAAGGGGAAACAGAAAGGAAACCAGCCAAACAGGGGGTCCCCCCAAAAGTGTCCCCTGAACTGATCGAGGCCTATGGGAACACCCAAAGTTAAGGATCCCGTCCAGGCGGTGGGTTTTTTGTAGGTGTCCGGGGCAGGACGGTTTGAAGTCTACTTTTCTTTTGGTGAAAATTGTGGGGCTAGAAACCCGTGCTCCCACAGTTCCTGGACTTTACACTTTTGTGTGAGTTCCTACTGACTATATCTTTTAGTGTCTAAAAGCTTGGACTTGCCAACCTACCTCTCATATCCCGCTTCGTGAGTTCGCGCGAGGTGAGCCCAAAGCGCTTCTCTGTGGGGGATGTCCGGGTGCTGGCAGAGGCGTGCGGCACCTCCACGAGTGTTTCTCAAGAATCCTGGACCCCCCTTGTGGGAAGCGAACCATTTTAGGGGAGGACCACCGTTTTGAGAAAACCCTACATTGTCATTCATGTACACATCGTCGAAATCAGCTGCCCACTTTTCAAGATGAGTTTTTGTTGATTCTGGGGAACCCCCCAATTCGGTTGTTTTTTTGGAAAGGAAGCCGTCGTGTTTGAGTGAATCATGGTGAGCTTGAGCGTTACAGTCGACCCGTCTGAAACCCGTGCAGCATGAAAGGGCAGCCTTGCGTAGGATCCAAGATGGTGTCCGCTATCCCCAAACCAAGACGGGGGGAGAAACCACACTTTGTATAGTGCCTACGTGGGTGTATATCCCAAACCCTTACGGCTGTTCTTGTGGAAACCATCATAGCTGTGTGTTTGTTTTTCCGCTGAGCCCCGGAGTCGGGTAAACGGGTGACGCTTATGCGTGTTCCCTTCGCGAGGGATCCGATGCTTTGCCCAGTTTGTGGGCTTAGAGCTCACCGATCCGGAAGCAAAACACGCGAGAACCCATGATGTAGGTCCTCCACTTGGTCCCTTATTTCAGGTGTTGGAATGCTTGTAGACTTCAGAGGCACAGACCCATCATGATGGTTCTTCAAAGAAAGAGTGCAAGACACCCAAGAGAAAACATCAACCGCAGCCATCTGGCTCAAGCCAGGTGCCATTAAAATCAATACCTACCAGTCATCAATACCTATCGGTCCTGGAGCAAGTGGTCGTCCCTTAGCTCAGCATGTCCGTTGTTCTAGGAACGATCGCGGCAGTGATCGGTCCTCTGCTCGTGGCCACGGGTATTACACTCTGGGACCTGCACTGGACAGGCAGCGCCATCATGCTCAACACGCTGAAAGGAAGCGTCGCCGGACCTTTCTTTGTGATCGCTGCGGCAGTGCTCTGGGTCACACAAGATCACGTTGGCAAAGACCTCTTCAGCGCCATGATGCTCATCCTTGGGGGTGTGTTGGGCATCGCAGTGGGAGATACGTTGTGTCTAAAGTCTCTCGAGTTTATAGGGGCTCGAAGGGTAATCCTTATCGACTCTATAAAGCCAGCCATATCTGCTGTGATCGCCGTCCCGCTGTTTGATGAGCCATTGTTGCCGTGGGGGACTGTTGGTATGATTGTCAGCATTGTGAGTGTGGTGGTCGTGTCTTTGGAGAATGACAAGTTGAACCAGGCAGAGCACAACCATGCAGCTGCAATTGATCGGAACCTCGAAGTTGTGCTGCAAGGAAAGGATGATTCAAGCTTTGATGATGAAAACTCCATCGTTTCAGAGCATCGCAAAGACGGTTTTCCAGAGACGGTGATGGTTTTAAAGGCTGAAAACAATGGCTTTGGATATTTGCTGGCAGCGCTGAACGTGGTCTTTGATGTTCTTGGGGCCATTCTGACCAAACGATACGGGCAGGGGTTCAACGCCTTTGAGATCGCGGGGATCAGGCACGGATCTTCAGCTGTGCTTCTGCTTGGGCTGGTGTTCGGCCATCGACTTGCGGGTGATCGCGCCAGCTGGTCGTCCTTTCCAAGACTTCCTCCGAAAAGCCTGAGGTTCGTGTTCTTGGGAATCTTGACTACAACCTTCCTGACTGGAATGTTGAATAGTTTTGCCATCTTCCAGCTTCCGCTGGCAACCTACAGTTTGCTCATTTCACTGACACCCATTTGGGCTATACCCGTGGTGTATGTGTTGAAAGAAGAGCACAGTTCTCTTCTTGCTATTGTTGGGAGTGTGTTTGCGGTGCTAGGAGTGGTGCCATTATACTTTGATATTTAATTGGAGCGGTTATCGCTGGACATCATTTGTCGCTAAAAGCGATACTTGTGACTACCGAGTGAAATGGTTCAAGATCATGTTCTGTCACAAGGGACCGGGTCGAACTCTGATTTCGGGAAGCAACCACATTTTCCATTGCCAGGACCGGCTCCAGAAGAGCTTGTCGGTGCTGGTGGATGCGTCAGGCAGGCGGGGGTACTGCATGAGGCACCTGGCTGGTTAGGGGGCTCAAGATGGGTGTGTGTCAAAGTAGGGGGACCCCCAACATGATGGTCAGGTTTCTGGGTGTATCAGTTGCCGTCATGTTCAATTTGGGGATTTCCTGTACCTTGACGTTTGGACAATATCCTGCACCAGTTAGTATGCTTACCCCAGTCAGAAGACTTCAGTCATCCCAGGTGCAACATTTTGTCCATCCATAGTGTCTTTCCAACGATTGTGTCAGACTTAGAGCTTGTTGTGTTCGCCTTTGCCCTTTGGGGTTTCATTTTCCCGTTTCCCCTTCGCCAGTGGTGTCACACCTTGGGGTCAGATCAAGTCACGTGGAGCCGATTCTTTAGGCGCGCCGCTGAACGACCGGGACAAGATCTGCGACTCTGGGCTGCAGCATGGCGACCAAGTCAGCGCGCTCGTGAGGCGAGAAATCGAGTGGGGGGTTGGGGGCAAAGGAGGCAGTGGGTGAGGCTAGCGAGGCTTGTCTAAAAGCAGCCTCTGGCATAGACCCCAGCATAGTCCGTTCCCTTTTGGCTTGACGTTTAAGCCAAAATGGGGTCCCTCAAAAATGGGTGGGGGCCCAAACAAATTCTTCGATCTTCCTTTTTGGTTCCCCTTAAAC